GAACAATCTTATGCATTATGGCTTCACGATCACCCTACAGAACAACACCAATGGAAGACATGGAAATATAGTGGTTGCCTGAGCAACACTACCATGGATCATGATGTGTCAGGAAACACAGTGATGTTGGTACAACATCTTCACTACAGCAACATGCTGTGAGATAATAAAAGCCACGAGCCATGAGCCACATTGTTTCTACTGAGGTAGCTCTCTGGTTATAGCCTATTAAGCCAATGTATCCAATGCTGATCTTAAGAGCAGGGTTGCTTTATGGCAGTATTGCATTAATAGGATTTTTGCATTGATGTGATGAGGTACCTTGGTTTGTAGGGCATTTAGTTAACCAAATTAGCAAAAAAAAAACATCTCTATTTTATTATCATGTTTAAAATTTTGAAATACAAAATTAGATAAATCAATTCTATACATAACTACACATCCCTTGTCTAAAGCATGGAAGAAGTTACAAGTTGTATTGTATATGATGTATCTTTGCTTTATTGTGCATTATATCCTACAATGCCCCCAGCACCTTTGAAGCTTGGCATGTTAATGGCTTAAGTGAATGAGAGAAAAATGATTTTCCAGCTGATTAAGCACAACACTGACAGAACACACACTACTGCTGCTTGTTGCAGCAGGTGAGCCATTTAAGCAAGAGGAATATTCAAATGCAGAATAGCAGCATTTGTAAATGAACTGGATTCTAGATGCAAGGATTTTAAGATGAATACAGGGATTAATTTTTTATGACAAGGGCCTGTATACAAAACACAGAACCAGGCAAATGAAAGAGATGGAAACTGAATTAATCAAGCAATTACTGGGGGACTGGAAGCAACTGATTTAAACTTGCAGCCATTCCAAAACAAACCCAAAACACATGTCAACATTTACAAAATCAAGAAAGGTAGTAGATGAATACTATGAGCTCTAGTTACGCACACAATATCTGCTCAGTTATGGCAGCTACCCAAGTTTGATATCTGATTTGATTTTAACTATGTGTCACTGCACATGACACTGCACCTCTTGCATCACTTCAATGAACCCGCAGCAACATACACTACTTAACCAGCTGACCACCCGCAGTGCTGGAGTATAGAAGAAAGACATCCATGTCATGCTCTGTTTCACATAGCCTATGTAACTGAGACAGTCACTCCATTCACTGCTGCCTATCTAAACATGACACCTAACAATGTCAACAATTCTGCCATCTGCCAATTGGTCTGCAAGGTAGGGATGGGTGGAAAAAACCCAACCCAATCTTAATTTTCTATCTATTTATTCAACATAGTCTAAGAATTATCTTCAATGTATAATCAACTCCTCCTGTGTTATCTCTGGTCAGTGGTAATTACTGCAGTAGGCTGATTGCAGAACGAGCATTTTAAAAACTCTCAATTTTAAACTATGTATATGTATTTTTGTGGAAAGCAAACCTGCTTTTATTTACTAACTATATTTATCAAATTTAACAAAATCCTATCACTCTACCTTGAAAAGCAAACACAGAGTTTACTGAATGTACCAAAACGACTTTGGAGAAATGTGCATTATAATTTTGAGTTTTTGCAAGGCAACCAATCTATGCTATCTGTTTACAAAGTCTGACAGAGAAGGCCACACCCCCCCAGGTAACATGACAGTCAGCTGGTGACCTCATGACAGGTTATCAGTAAACACACTCTTGCTGTTTGTGCTGGTCTTGCTCCATGACTATATAATCGTCACATCTGCCTACTTGAAAATGTGTAGGAAAATTTAACTCAGAAAAAAAAAGAAAAGAGAAAAAAAAACCCTGCACAACAAACGGCAAAACATGCAAAGTAAAGGAGCAGGAAAATAATTGCAAAGTAGTATGCAGGAACGCGGTGCAAACTATTATTCAGACTACCTCATTCCTAACGTGCTCTCAGTGTGTACTGGTGACTGAACTCCACAATGGACACTATGTACAAAAGAAAACAAGGAGGAGCCACATGGCAGGTGGCCTCCCGCTCTGGTCTCATGTCAGAGACGTGTGTTGAAATGTTGTTACCTGCTCGATAACTGCAACATTTGTACAAAACTATGATCACAAAATCGTGGGTGAACACCGATCATTCCTTACATAAAGGATTGACCATGCACAACTCAGCAAGCGGCAAAGTGGAGCCAAACACAATGGAAATGACGAACCACACACGTGTTCGTGCATCTGGCTGCATTTGAAAGATGTTGGGTGATCTGTGTTTTGCATATAGATACTTTCTCAATTCCTCCTCGATACAAACACACCCCAGAAAGAAATTGCGATTACCTGAAGCGGGACTAATGGGTCTGCATCCTCTGGCTGCCAGACCTCGACCACGCTGGTGGACATCTGACTCAGAGCTTTGTGGGAGCAAGAAATTAAATTAACAGTGAGGTATTGGGAAATTAAGTAACATGGATAAGACTGACAACTGGAAATGCACCAAATTTACGCAGTCGAAAGAATTGGGATGTACACGGTCAAACTCCATTTATTATTTCTGGTTATTACAAATGAATAAACTGAAACGGAATGGATGATAATCACACAGACAAGTGAGGAAATGACTTCGCCTCGGCAGGCTGACAAAGGCTGTTTGCTAGCTGCTTGACTAGCAGGAAGGTTAGCTCGCTGGCTAACGAACTTGGAAAAACATCTCTACTGCTACTGCAGTACACACGACTGTAGAGTTAGCTTGTTGCATTGAGTAGCTTTGCTACAGTGACAAAAGAAACCGCTAAATACTGATACTAAGTCCCGATAATACGTCAATTTACTTCACTGCCTAAACAAGTTATAGTTTCGTTAAGAAACAGCACAGGGAACTGGCAGCTAGCATGAACTAGCAGGCTGACAAAAAATAGCTACAACCCTGTTCCAAGTTGGTAAAAATAAAAATATGACCAAGTCACCTCGTGAAAAGGTATTCAGAAATTTTTTCGACTATATTGAGTTTATATGCTATTTGGACAATTCAGCTCGGCACCTATTTTCCATCTTAACGTTTGCTGTCAAGACAGCCTAGCTAATTTAACGTACGTTTTTTGCAACGGTCGTTTTAACGTTACACCCCCGAAGCAGAAAATAAAGGTGAGCACAAACCTTGCAGCTGAGCACCTCCGTGCTGGACGCAGGGTAAAAGTAACTGTAGTATTCCTAGTAGTATATTGATCCACGTTTTCCTGTGACAGTGGCTGCCTTGTTGGAAGTCCTGTAGCCCCGCCATGCTGCCCTCTCAGCTAGCAGCCTACCTTGTGTTTCGCTGCGTTGGTCTTTCTTTCTCTCACCGAGCACCAGCACCAGCAGCAGCAGCAGCACCAACAGCAGCAGCAGCACCTCCCTCCCTCTGTCCCTCCCCGCTTACTCACACAACATTGCACAGTGAGGACACACACCGGTGTCACTTGCAATGAGACTGTTTACGTTTCTGTTGCTGAGGGTAAATGAAACAAAGCTGACAAAGAGGCATCAAACATGTTTAATGTACCCTACAGTGGTGGAGAGTAAATAATTACTGCACTTAGGCACAAAATTGAAGTTTTTGACCTGTGTTTTTTTTTTTCATTAAATGCTAGTTTAAACTTTCAGAAGTAAATATTCAAGGCTGGATTACCAACTACGCAGTTTGCTCCATGTCATTTGGGTCTAAATAATTTGATTAATAACAATAATATGTGTCAGGTACCAGGTACCCACCCTTCATCTTGTGACCTTGCTCTTGTGTCACAATCTAGTTTTAAGAAGTTAATTGTAATAGTTTCTATTCTATAGCCCAAGTTATATTTTATCAAATTGCTTCAATTTTTTCTAAGTTTCAAGTAATTAACAGTTACATAACTACGGTTACATCAGTAGCGAAATGAATACTTCCTCCACCACTTGTATTTTTCAGACAGGCCACACTATTTAGTGGTGGCAAGTGACTAAACACAATTACTCAAAACTGTACTTACACTTTAAAGTGCCTCTACTCCATTACAGTTACATTTCAGAGGAATACATTATACTTTTTATCTTACCGCTGTCGTTAAAAACTACTTCAAAGATTAGGATTTAACACTGAAGAAACATGTGATATGTTTATAAAACACAACGCATAATTAGAAATTAAACAGTGGCTCCTAACCTTTGTGAATTGTTACCCATCACAAAAAACAAAGTACAGTTAGAGGGAGATTTCCCTCCTCAACTTCTCAAGTGGTTTTATTTAAATAACCGCTCTAAGATTACAGAAAAATGTGTCTTCTTTTCTAACCCATTGACCCACAATTGGACAAAACCACTAAACTGCATAAAATAGTTAAAACTAGCTACAACAGTGAAATGCAACTAACACACTGATGCATCAGTATCAACTATTGTGCATTATATCTGATATGGACACTGAGTAAAACTACATGCAATAAAATCTATTTACACCTCAGTCTGGTGTTATATAATCTTATGCTCTTCTGTGAGTCTATAATTGAGGTTAAGTGAAAGTCTTTAGTCAGCATAATTACTGCATTATTGACCTTAATGAGGACACGAGGCAGATTTAACCTAAGAAGCTGCAATAGTAGTCTGTAAGTTAGTGAGTGACAGCGAAGTAAAACTATTCACAGTCCGGTTGGGAAGCTCTGGCATTTGTCATCTCTGACTCATGAATCATATTAGGACAGGTTGGGCAGGTACGCACATGAACGTACACTCAGGTTACTCTTAAAAAAAGGTGTGTCAGCTCCACCAAACAGAAACTACAAGCTAGCTTTAGAACTGTTACCAGTGCATTTCTAACAGGGGGATTAGTGTTACAAGAAATATACAACACGGAAGAACACTTACGACTACATTTGCTACTGCGCATTGTTTAGTAGCAGATTATATTTATCGGTATAAATAACAGAACTTTTACATTAAAAATATGAAACTTTTAATCAGCAGGCTACAGCATGTTTGCAAGGATACACATCTTTAATATACAATTTGTCTCTTAATACAAACATGTTAAATGATTCTCAGATGAAAATAAATGGCATTAAGAAACATTACAAATAAAAAAAAAAAACAATAAATCAGCAGAAACTAACAATATGCTTGCTTATCATTCATCTACTGGAAAGAAGACTAAACTGATGCAAGAGAAGACAGGCACAGAGCACATTTGAAATTTAAATCGACAAACCCAGACACTGGTCATGACAAGTAGGTCACTGAGTAAACACAGAACACACAAGTACCTGTTTTGCATCTGGTTTGACAGAAAAGGAGGAGGAAAAAAAAAAAAAAAAGCTGGGGCATAGTTATTCTAGATATGTCAGGGCAACAACGTTCCCTTTCTGTTCATACAGAAAGTGAGTGTACAGCTCCGAAACAAATGCTTTTGTGACAGACTTTGCAATGTGGTTATTTCTAAAGAACTGCAAATACAAAAGATTGAAGGTCTGGTGTAAATGCAATTGTACACTGCACACCAAGTTTTGGAAAGAACACAACTGCTGAAATTGGCTTGTAAAACTCACAGGGACATTTTATTTGCAACACGAGAGGTTCTGTACAAAAGTAAATGTGCTTTAAATATTTACAGCACTTACAGCACACACAAAACATATCCTAAACATACCCTCTGTAATTTAATTCTCCTGTCAGTCCCAGTGCACCTTTTAATGAGTGAACAGAACAAACCATTGCTAAACTGCATTTTTTCCTCTTTCTCCCCAAGAAAAATACAAACAAAAGGGGGACATAGAGGAAAAAACGCACAAGGATTTCATTCCAAACCATCTGTTTAAACCATATAAATTAGATCACTGGCGACACAGATGTGTTCAGTGTTGATTCCTTTCCATCATCAACTTGGAGTTCTCAGTTTTCATGCAAACAGGTGTCCGAAATATCTGGCTGCTACGCTGTGTTCATCACAGAGCCCCCCTCACCCCTCTCAGCCGCTAATGGCCGGTTCAGTCTCTTCTCTGGTTGCACCAAAGCAACATATCTGCTGATAAAGTCCATCTGTTGCCGCAAAATCACTGATGTTCGTCCTTATTCAAAGCCCTCCCCCAGTGTTTGATATGAACCTTGGTGCAATTATTTTCATTCTAATGCACCCAGCAGAACAAGAAATGCGGAAACCAGGTATGGAGGCTACAAACTGAGGCCTAAAACTCATACTTTTCCCTTACTGTGTCCGTGAGCTATGGTAGAAAGAATTGCAATCAGTCCATGTAGTCAAAGTCCTCGGGGATCCCAAAGGCTTTGTTAATGCGACTGTCATCAAAGGCAAACTTCTTCTTTGTCCATGACTTGATCGCAAAAACATTATCTGAAATGAAAAAAAAAAGAAATCAAAAGTGTTATAGTGTTATAAAGTATAAACAGTCTGGGATTACGAGAATATTCTGTGACTCAAGGATGACGTTCGAGTCCAAGAACAAACCATGTGCATCGCTGCTGTTTTGGTGAGAGTTGAATTATTTTGGCTGAAGATTTGATGATAGACAAAACTTCCTCAGCACCTGAGAACATTTGCCACCAGTGACCATCGATAACATCCGGAAATAATTTAGGCAATTAGGGCGAATCTGATGTGTGTCAACAATGGTCTTAACAAGGGTGGGCCACTCTCTGCTAAAATTCCACTTTGTGATAAAGAATAATGGCATGAGTGCACCAGTATTTTGCAAATAAATCGTGCTTACTGCAGATCTGATACCATATATTTTTCCGGTAGATTTGTGTGTGGGGCGTCTAGCAACGCTCCTAACTGAGAGGTGGTCGGAGGCTCTCTATTGTATATGTGTTGTAGTATAAAATGTTATCAAAGCTGGTGATTTACAATAAAATAATTCTTGAATCTGATGATTTATAGTGGTGAATTTATCTTGATAGTCTAATGTGAGAATACAGTTTTGTGTACCAAAACGCATAAATATTCAGTTAATATGAGTGTAGTGCATTTACAAACCGACTTGGTAACCTAAGTAGTCTAGATAATAGTAATCAATCTAATGCAGGTTATTTTATGGTCTATAATGAGTTTCTTTGAATTGAGGGAAAGCTGTGGAATGCGTCACCCATCTAAAGAGTACATAAAACAGCTTCCTGTAGAGTAATACCTGTCTTATCACGAGCTAAAGTCAATAAACTCTGAATCATGCTATCAGGAATGCCTTTCTCCAAAGTCTTGCAAAATAACTACTCCAATGTTGATATGAAAATCTGCAGTTAAAGTGCATGTGATCAGATGTGTCAAGGCTTGTGTGCGAGTGTGTGTTTTTATGTGGGTGTGTCTCGGTGTGACGAGGCTGCAGGTTAAAGCATAATTTTTTGAAAAGGAAAGTCTCGAGCAGAACAAGATGCAGCCACAGGCAATCCAGCACATTAAGCAGGATTGCTGTTTGCCTGTAGGGGTCTGTTGTGACCTGCTAGATGAGACCAGTGTCTTGACTGGTGCACTGAAATAACGCCAGCTACATATCAACAGCAGCAGTGCATGTATGTTTTGTGTATAAAAAAGGGCACACAGAGATGGAGCCACCTCGTCCACTGCCTCCAAGAAAAAGTGACCTTCCAATGTTTCCATGGAAAATATGACCGACTGTTGTGTTGATTTTGGTCATTCATGCAACTGGTGAGCACGATATACTGGGCATCACGGTGAAACACAGGAAAGAGCCGAGCTGATGCAGACAGTGCTGTGAGGAAACGTTTTTTTTTGCTCAATGCTGACCTAAAGTGCTTGTTTAGTAGTGTCCACCACACATGAGGGAAGTACAAGTCATGGAAGCGGCAGCAATGACTCATAGTTTCTTAAAATTAGTATAATTCTATGTGAAAATGTGCCAACTAAAACATGACTGACATGCCTGTGTTGACCAGCTGCAGAAAATGTTACCTGAAGAGTCAAAACACCACAGGCCTGACTGGGTGCCATTATCCCCAAAGGTCAGCTGTCTCCAAGGTTACCACTCAGGTCAACGAATGCACACACAAAGCGCTGACTACCAGGAGGCAACATGCTGGACACAAAGTGCCATTACAGCTCGCACTGTATTGTGAGCGCTTTAAAGAGCAATCACTGGAATAAGCAGTCACAGTCATCACAGTCAGTCACAAGTTATCCTGAATATTCAGAGGCGCCTTTCTGCAATAACTGTTATGTCGAACAACACTGTTGACAGAAAATTAATCAGCTGTTTTGATTCATTATCTGTGTCCTAATTCAGCATCCTTCAGAGGATTTCTGCTTTTTCTTCCCCAGCTGTACCCGCCCTTACCGTAGCGTCACAAAGCACCTATTCTGTTGCCTAGCAACTTTGACAACACATAACTTTTTAAAATGTTTTCATTACAATAGGAGAACCTATTGGCACTGCTGTGATATAATCGGTTTTCAAATGCAGCCTCCGAAGGATGTGGCCCCTGAATTGGGACACAGCTACAAATAATAATAATAATAATAATAATAATAATAATAATAGTATCTTCGGGTTTCAGACTGTTGGTTGAATAAAAACAAACAATCAGAAAACATCACATTGGGTTATTCGCATGTTTCACTATTTACTGACATTTTACAGAGCAAACAATTAATTACTCATTCTGGAAAATTATTTGCAGATTAATTGATAATGTAAATTCATAGTTTAAGTTACATCCTGACTAATGATGATTATTTTCAATATCAATTATCTGCCTGAATATTGCTGCGATTAATCAACCAATCATTTGGTCTATAAAATGTCAGAAAACATAAGACAAGGAAAACCTGCAAATTCTCATAATTAAGAAGCTGGAAGCATAAGATGGAAAATGACTTCAATTGTTAATCATCAATCAAGAATAGGTGTCAATTATCTAACTCATGATGATTCCAGACTTATTACATGTGTGTGTTTTTAAAAGATAAGATGACCTACCTGTCCACCTGGAAGCAGCTTCTTTTGCTACAACATTTGACTTTCCTGCAAAACAAAATTTTTTACAATCAATACGTGCATCGTACACGATGTCTGCAATGTGTGTTTCTTTCATTTTATCAGGCCAATGTAACATCATTCCCTTCAGCCAGTTTTGGATTATTGCTCGAAACAAGTATCATCATATCTCTGTGATGAAAAGGTAAAGATGAGATTACCGCTAAAATGATGAGTTACCCTTAATTTCAATGTAAAAAGAAAAGTGTGATATTACAGGTGATAGAAACAGAACATCATTACAGCATGATCCATTTACTAAGTAAGCTTTGCTTCGTTGGTAACCTATATTTATGAGAGAGAGACATGTTAGAGACTAACATGCTATGTGTTTTTAAAACAGGCTGAACATATAAATGTTTGATGTGCATCGTTCTCAGAGCAGAAAATGCTTTCTGCAACAAATCACTGAACACAAGACAGAAAACATACGTTGGGTCAGTGATGTGACGTCTGGATAGCAGCGGCCACACTGTATGAAAAAGTAGTATACTAATAAATTAAAGTGGACAGTTTAGCATCCACTTCTGCTGCAGCTGGAAAGAGCCCATCTAGAAACCTGGAGCGGAATAATGTGCTCCAACTGAACAGCTCTCTATTTCTGAGTGATATATCTGGTGATCTATAAAACGGAGTCCTAAACAACAGCAGGTAACATCATTAAGCTGCTAGGCACCTGGAATAATGTCTTTAACTTTTAGCAGTATTTAAAAATTTATTGATTCCATGACCACTATCCACAGACACTGATTTGGCTGCTGTACTGGTGGGACTGGGCTCCGGCCGCTGAAAAAAAAAAAACCCAGCCAAAATATCTGGTATAGTTGTCACAGCTGGTGGCATAAACTTTCTCCACACCATCTCTATGGTTACATCAGCATATACTAAAAATGCCTCAGTTAAATCAAAAGTTGATATCCACAAAAATAAACATGAGCTCTAAATGGGAGAGACTGAGAATTTATGGCTGAGAATTTGGACGGCAAGAGAAACACACCTCAGCGGTACAAGCAAACGTCTCAACCACCAAACAGACCTAGCAGCTGTCGAGGCAGACTGAGCTCTGACTGTTGATTTGCTTACCTGCTCAATTTGTTTTTATTAATTTTATCAGTTTATTTGGCAGGAAAATCAACAGAAAGAAGAAAGTTTAAAAGAGTCTGAGTGACCCAATGAAAATGTATGTGTTGCGTCTGGCCAAATGTTAAAAAGGCATACTAAATGCTGATTGAAACAACGTCATATAAAATAAAATAAAAAACAAGACAATAAATACCACACACAAGATAGTAAAGTACACATCCAATGATAAATGATGCCACAGAGTAGGGCATGGTGGTTCCCTATAATCCATTCATAACAAATGGAAAAGAAAGAGGAGAGGAAAGATGATCAAAAACAAGTTTTCCAAAAGTTATAAATAATTCCAAAAAAATATTAATACACCTGCAGACTTTTTGGTTTTCCCTTAACATGGTTGTAAATGTCTGAATACATGTCCAACTCTTAACTCACATACTGTCATACTCGCCATGCACATAGCTCGGGTTTCTTTGAGGTGCCTTTTACCCTTCCCATGTTTTTAACCTCACCTGTAACCACAGCAACTTATGGGCGTAGCAACAACTACTGTCACAGCAACATTTTTACCTGACAAATCCAATCAAATCAAAAGGCTGTCTGTCCACTCACAGTGAGCATGGCTGTGTTTTTAAATTGTACTTTGGGGGTGTGGCAACCACTGTCAAAGATTCTCAGGGCTGGTGACATCTAAAAGAAACCCACTACACAATAATTAGTTTAAAATAAAGAGTGGTGTGGGTTTGGTTTAATGAGAACAGAGGTAGAGGAAGTCAGTCAAACTAGGGTTAGCCAATTTTTGATGCTTGACAGACCCTTTAGTATTGACTGGAACAGCTTTTAGAAAGCAAAACTAAAAGTGTGTTAACTTTATTGAGATTGGTTGAGTAATTTTCATCATTTTCTCACAAAGTCAAACATGAAAACCCTTAAAATAAAATGTGTAAATTGCTCAAGTGGGTGTAATAATGTTGTTGCAGCAGTGTCTCAGCTTTTAAGACGTTCTCGGTGTCACATCTGCATGAACGTAAGCATGATCAGGTCTGAGCCCATTCTGCAAGTTCAGTCTAAACCCCCCAGTAGACATAACATAGGGTCATACACTCTCTGCATAGCTGCACAAAGCTCTCAGCATACAATTCAAGATGGTTATCTGTAACACAGCTGTATGTGTGTGTGTGTGTGTGTGTGTGTGTGTGTGTGTGTGTAGTAATGTAGTTCAAAGAGAAGAAAATGAGACCTGCAGGCAAGTGGAGACGGTGATGAATGTGAAAACAAAGCACCAGAGACTGAAAGTAAGAGAAAGCTTCTCCTTTCTCTCATTAACTACCTCATCTTTCTAATTTGGGTGCCTCATGTGTATTCATGATCTGTATTACATCACATAACTTTCAACGCACACAATACAAGTACAAGATGAGGCCGAACATTCACTGCGCAAAGGACTGAAAGTTTTACCATGGCCTCAGCTTTCAGTGAGAAGAGCCTGATCTAGAAAGAGTCAGGCCGTTTACTTTCACCAGATCAACACAAACCACTGCCCCTGAGTATAAATATAAACAATATCCAAGTTTCCCTTTCAAACAAGATCATATGATCAGCGCAGTCTGACGTTTAATACTTTCACTTTATTCTACTTAAATGTTTTTACTCTATTTACATTTGTTATTTTGCCATTTTTTTAGACAGCTTTAAAAAAAAAAACTGGGCTTTCCTGGGGTTGGAGTTTGGACTCCAGCAGGAATTTTCAAATTGAACTTGTTGTGTCACAAAGCTACTAATGCAAACTTTACTGTATTATCTACTATCTCAAATATTCAGCCTGTACTAAAAACTATCAATGTCAAGCTACAGTATCCCCTCTACATTTACTGTGTCTGTCACATTCAATTTATATTTGAATCTAAGTTAAGAAAGCCTTTTTAGAAATTTCAAACAATTTCATCAAACATCAAAATGCTTAATTTGAACTACAAACACGATGAGTGACAGTCAGTGGACAAGACAACAGTGTCATTGTTGAGTGGAAAAAACCAGCAGGGCTGTGTGCAGACTAAATGCATGTCTGGTCTAACACTTGAACGTGCAGGTAAACAGGCCAGATATTTTTATGACACCACACATGTTACGTGTGTACTTAAAGTAACATACCACCCTTTTTACCACAGGTCACCTGTAACATGAACACAAAGCAATGTAGCATTTTTGTAATACCACTAATAGCTGTGTGCATTGTGTAGCCATACCATAAAAGAGGTGTGCGACAGCCAGTAAATGACTCATACCTAGCGGCCCTTTCTTTGTTTTCAAAGCTTTTAACCTGATCTCTCTGAGCTGAGAGGTCAGAGGTCACAAGGTTCATTTTAGACAGCAATTAAAACTGAAACCAGAACAGAGTCCGTTTTAGCAGCAAGGCTCCTACTCTTCACACCTACTGTCTTATAAACTCGTAAGTTTGTGGTTGAATCTGACAGCTTAAAGCTGACATAAGAACACTTCTGGATGTCGAGTGACCACTTGTCATATGTTCTCACTTGTCATATGTTCTCACTTCCTTCCTCACATTTGATATTAACCGTGAGAAACTGTGACTCTGCTACCCAACCACCAAAAAGCATGCTTGCTCTCAGCAGTACAATTAGAAAAGAGTTCTGCTGTGGCTGGTACCTGCACCACAATACCTTGTCCTGAGTTCTTTGACAGAGGAAGATAAACTGCATCCAATTGTCTTTGAGAGGATTGTTTATTCTACATGTTATTGACCAGGCAGTAATGCAAGCATGTCTTCATTAGTATATATGAAGGTGTACTGGGTGGTCAATACTGTCTACGTCCCCCGGTCACCATTGAACTTAACCTAAAGCTTCTGTATGGAACTTTTTTTCTACTATTTTTGGTTGAAATATGCTTCAAACCATATCTTCTCTGACGCAGACTCATTGAACAGTCTGGCAACAGTGCAGACGTCTTCCCCATTAAAAGTTTTTGAGCAAGCCCAACCCTTCTAACCAATCAAAGAGGGTCAACATCACGGGTGGGAGCTCACGGCTGTCAGTCAGTACATGAACGCGCTTCTGGTCCACTACTCCTCTCGCATCGAGGCTTCCAGCTAGTATAAGCTGCTGGACGATGCCTGCATCGACTGAGACGGCATACGTAACGTGTATGTAGGCGAAGGACTGGGCAGCAGGGAGAGGGAGGAGTGGGAGGAGTGTGGGGGAGTGGAGTGACTAGGGGGTGCTTTTGAGTCTCATGCTAGTGCTAGCTAGATTTCCAGCACCATATTGTGGCTTTAAGCAGTTGGATCCAGGTATGTCTTCAATGCATTTAGATGCATTCACACCTTATTCAGAGCCGCCTGAACATCCAAGATAGTGTTCAGTGAAATGCGTGAAAAGGGAAACTGGAGATGTAAAATATGTTCTGCCACGTCCTGCTTATGTTTTCTTTTTAGCACTATGAGTAGGTGCTTTTGATTGGCGGCCAAGTTCACTGCAGAACTGCTTATTGATGGATTTTCTGGGTGCTGTTGCCATTAATGTACCTATCTCTGTGTTGAAGTGATTAAAGCACTGAACAGCTTAAACAAAAAGGTGAAAAATGTTAACGTCTGCCAAGTGCACCAAGGTTTTATTTTACCACAGCAATATTTGCCAGTTTATGGGAGGCTACACTGAAATAACCCCGCTTATAATGCAGAGCTTTGTGTTTATTACCCGGTGTGAAAGCACTTCATGGTAGTTTTACTCAACCAGAAGCTCCTCAAGTGCTTCTGTTTCCTTGGATTTTGCCCAACTCAGTCCCTCATTTTAACAAGAGATCCTCCCTAGTTGCAAAACAGCACCATCTGCCTCCATGAGCACAAAAGCTACTGAAACCTTTGGCTACAGTGACTAAATACACTAACTAAAAGCTTGCTGTCCAATGATTTTTAAGAATTATCACCTGGCTTGTAATAATAATAATAATACATATATATAATAATAAACCACTTTATAATGTCACGCAATCAGCACACTGGCCCTGCAAAATATCACTCTGCTAAAGCTTGTGATAAAATAGATGTAATACAATTTCAGCCAACGCCATGACATAAAAAAATGACCACAGATTTAAATCGACGCCTTTCTCACATGGCCTCAAACATTTGGTCATTTAACGGACTGTGTGGCCTTTCACAGTGGGCCGGATTTCTCTGGTCAGTGATTGGACGTGATCTGATCGCTGTTAAAGCTCAAAAGTGACTTTTTTTTTTTGGAAAACACAGTCAGGTTGTGACTGTACTCACTCATCTCCTCAACGACCTCTGGGTCACATTCCCTGTACTTCTCCAACTCGGCCTGCTGCCCAGTTCGCTCCTCTCTCAGAGCCTGCAGTTCCTTCAGCAGGGAGCTTCTCTCCTTCTGCACACACAGACACAGACCATCTTGTGAGATTTATTTCATCAGTCTAACTGGCATGTATCATTCATTTTACATTATTCACTTTGTCAAAATAAAGATAGATCTTTCCATATAAAGGTGGAGTTAGAACATGAAAACCTTCTTACTGTATCTTGACGTCCTACTTTGGCCTTTTCAACCAGTTTCTGTAGAGACACTTTCCGCTGTTTTGCTTCAGAAATCTTTAAAGTAAAAAAGTGTCACATCAGGTAAAAATATGACATCAAACTGCTTTCAAAGTAGAATATGTTTTTGGAAACTATTTATAAACTAGAGAAGGGAAATGACACATCTCTTACACACACATAGATATTCCATAGTCAAATTATACGGCAGGCAAGACGATATAACAAGGTAGATCACAGAACTAAAAATACCAATAAATAAATAACTAAATAACATTTATCAAAACAAATCAAGTATCCTTCCCAATGTTTTTGTGATGTTGCACTTTTTGTGCTTTTTGATTGTGGAGATTACCAAGAGCTGCATAAAAGCTGCCCACAACGGTTGAAAAAGCGTCTGAAATTGGAGACATTGTTAGTTGTTCTTGATTTATGAATGTGACATTTCCCTCGTAGACACAAGTTTTAGAGTCAGCAGTCACACTGTTATTGGATTTAACAGATAAAAACAAAAATCACATATACTGACAAATGAATTCATTTCCCGAAGACGCGTCAGATCAAAATTTATGGGAATAGCATCAGTTAAAAAGAATATGTAATAATGATTCTATTTCAGATTTACAAAATGAGTATAATGGAGAAGCATCTTTATATTTACTGATGGGTTTGTTATGATTTCACTGTACTCTGCCATAAAAACAGTACTAAATTCTATAAAACTGTTCATGACATTGCCCAGCAAGAAAGTATTGATTGGTCTCAGTAATTGTTTCACCTCTCATAAGTTTTGCCTGTAATGAATACACTCTTAAACTTTTAATGGAAAAATGAGTGCTGACCAGAGCGTTAGAGATTTAATGACTCATCAGCATTAACATACAAGTTTGTAATCAATCTGGCAGAAACGGACGGTGCTATTTTGTAATCTGTTTGCAAATTTTACCCCCACCAAACATCACGTCAACATCACCACATCAAGTCTACAAATTTACATTGCCGTCTTAAATAGATGGTGGCATTCAAAAAGTCACACTTAGCATAAAGGTTGTGGTATCTCACTTCCGGCTATGCAGTATACTGTTATGCTTGTGGTGCAACCAAATTTCAAGATTGACGGACAGATTGCAGCTTCATAACAGTTCACTTCTGTCCTACATATCTGGTGGCGAACGTTCTGTTTGGAGACACCACCCTCACACCATCTGTCTACCAGGCAGCAGGAGCGGGAAATGGGTCATCTCAGATGACGAGAAGTTCAGGCCTTTTAACTTTCTGTGATGACAGAGCTCTCACAAAAGCCACCAAGTGTTACATGTTTTTGAATGGGTTATTTTGAATGTAAAAAATGTGAAAATCAGATTTAAAAAAAAAAAAAAAAAAATCTGTCTATAATTTATCCAGTTTTGTTTTTACTTAGAGGAACTTGACCGTAACCAGCAGCTCATTTGTGTTTTCTTCCCATTTTTCTCTTCACTCTCTGAGCTGTTCTAGTCACAGGCCAACCTCATTTACTGTAGACTACAGTGAGCAGTGAGCTTATAAAGTGAAAATAAATAAATAAATAAAAAATAATAATAATAACAACAATAATTATAATAATGTTTTCCTTTTATAGAATATATGAATTTTGGAATGAATCAGGAATCAGCATGTGTAATATATGTAACACCATTTTATTTTACATTGCATTAAATTATCTATATTGCAACATCACACTATATTATCATAAAAATACTATATCAATATTATTGTGCTTTTATATTCCTAAATTATATTCTTTATCATAGTATTTGCTTTAATGTCTGTTATATATACACTTCATAGTATTGTATTGTTACTGTATAGTGTGCGACTGTGTACATTACATAACTTCCACATATATTATATTTAACATTATATACTTTTACAATATTATATATTTTCTTATTATGCATAATAGTGTTGTTATTTATTGTTGTTTAAATACCTACCTTCAGACATTTGACTTGATTTTATTTCTGGAGATCCATGTATCTCTTTGCTGTATACATCAGCAGACTCTGAGACGTGAGGGAAACATGCCTGACTAAGACTGAGGGGCCTCACCTGTTTCTGCAGCTCATCAAGTTTGTGCTTGCGAGCGTTTAAGGCCTTGCTGGGGAAGGCCCAGTAATAGTTGGATGTACCCACTCTCTCACAGTCCACCATGTTGTCATCCACCAGGCTCTGCAGCACTTCCTTCACAGACATGGGAGCTTAAAGCAGCAAACAGAAAGAGAAACAGAGAGAGAGAGAGAGAGAGAGAGAGAGGGGGGAAAGAACACCTTCCACATTAATAGGTCAACTGTCCTTTATTTTCCATCATTACACTGTGTTACCAGCAGAGTTGATGCTATTTTTGGATTACTGATTTGATTTGTGAACAAGTGATTCATGGCGAAGGTACAACCAGGACAAGCTCTATTTGGTGCTACATTTTGCTATTTTGCTGCAATATTATCCATAAGGATTAAAAAAAATATATATAAGAAAGAAAACTAAACCTACACATCCGCAGCCTATCTGGCCGTTTTATGCTCTTCTGACAGAACATTGCATGAGAGGATGTAACAGAGCGGAGTAACATCTTGAACAGTGTCAGCGGTGAAATGTGATACTCCCACACGTTTGCTCAGCCGGTCCGCTGTGAAAGTGAAAGAGCTTATCTGCTGTGTTGAGGGGCTGAGCTGCGCCGAGTCCTGTGAGGATACTGAACAGCAGCAAAAATACAAATGAGGATCCACAGTGGAAAGACAGCCTGGATGGATTGACCAAACTCTGTATGTGCTTAACTACAACAGTCTTTTTGAGCCACGTGTCTCCGTTTTGTTCATGTGACTGTAATAACTTTCTGCCCCTTTTAAAACTATTCTGGCTTGTAATCATTACCACTCTCCTTCTCAGTTTAGCTGAGATCAATCCTTTGGTCCCTTTTTGTTGTATTTTCTCCCTTTCTGCAGGAAAAGGTGCCCACAATGCAATGCTCTTGTTGCACCCTTCCCCCATCACTCAGTAACTACACTATACCCGAGTTGGGGGGTCAGAGACATGTGCTTTTAATCACAGCACCAAGATCCAGTTTCACCAGATTAATGTTTTGTCCAGTTTAAAACAAAATCCCTCTTCAGTTCTCCCAGACACACAACACGGGCCTGTGCCTCTGCAGGGCCGAGCACTTTAAAAGCTTGTAATTTATTTTTTACACATTTTCCCTCGATACTCATAATATAAGACTCCATGTTGACATTGAGGGAATATGTCTCATTTAAAAACCCAAGGCTTTCAGCAGTGCTCTGCACTATGAGATTATCGCTATTGATAGGTCTGGTTCTGCTTATACAGACTGAATATAGCTAAGACGGTAACAGCTAGCCCTCGTTGCCATGGTAATTCTGCAAGCCTGTCAACACAATGTTTTTAAGAATGCATGAGGCTGCAATGCCTGTTGACAAAGACTGTATGGCAGACAGTGGTAAGCAAATAGTGGACTGTGGCCCGAATCTGGGACAACCAACAAAAACTTTTGGCCTCCTAAATGAAAGATTAAATTTTACCTTTAATAGTTTGCATTAAAACATTTGCATAATCTTTAGGTAGCAATCTAAATACAACACTGCTTACTGTGTGTTGATAACCTGTCATTTACATTTCACAGTCTTGTAATTCAATACAAAGCGCACATTTGCGTATACAAGTTATTTTATTCAAAGTGAGCTTTGACATAAGCTGCTGTAACTCTGTTAACCTTCACTAACTATGCAACAATAAATAGCTCTAGGCAAAAATAAACTTGAGAGAAGTGTTCACTGTTGAGTATCTCTCAAATATCTGCAGTGTGACTGGACAGTAGAAAGAACTGTATAAAAAAAGTCTAGCAGTAACATGAAATATGACATCAGTGTCATAAATGTGCATGCAGTGCAAATGCAAAACCACTATGGTCTATGAAAATATAGTATATAAGAATAATCAGTCTCAAAACATTTTAGTGCTTTATGGTTTTCCCAGGGTTTCTGCAGGCTTCACCAAGTTAGGACTTTAAGACCATAAATTTACTACTTCCCCATAATAATATCATATAATTAATATTATAATATCATCAATCATCATTAAACACGACCTGGACGTGGGTAAAGCAGCAGAAAATGAACATCTGATCTGGAACAATGGTATTAGACATTTTCCAGAAGGTTTTTGCTAAAATCAACATTACTGCCTACAGAAGGCTAGAAACAAATATTTAAGACCTTTGTATATGACATATAAAGATTTTTTATATAAAGATTTTAAAGGCCATTTTGGAGGAGACCTTTTCAGACTTTTCATGACCTGAGTCTGTTCTCTGTGAGAAATCACACACTTACTGTTGAGACTCAGCTCCCACATTCATGTTTCCTTCTCTAAAAATAGGGAGTGATGTCTCTACTAACCTTTAGATGGGGAAATGTACAAGAAAAAGATTGTACATAACAGGCAGCTGGGGACATGTGGACAGACCATTTAACAGTTCAGTGTTAATGATGTTGTTCTAATAAAACTGTTGATTAATACTCACTTATGCCCTTTGTTTTAGGAGCGATCTTCTCAATGTCTTTCAGCTGAAAAACATCTTTCTAGAAAGAGGATGAAAAAATGTGTTCAAGGAAATACATTTTTTGTCATAGTAATTGAAAAAGAAACTATTTAACAAATATCTAAAACTGTGTCAGTATTGTGTTTTAGCTGCACTTTTTGGGTTTTTTTGGAAATTAACAGTGTGTGTGTGTGTTAATTTCCAGTGTGTGTATAATGCTGTAATGTTGTAATGCTGAAATCTTGAAAAGTTTGTTTAATCGTAGTTCATTCTTATTAACTAGCCAAATGACTTATGACTAATGTAAAGGCTTAAATTTTGTATTTTTTATTAATCTAGCTTCAGAAAAAGTATTATATTAAGAATTTCAAAAATTTCGAGATGTATCTATTTCAAGTTTTCATAAATCACTCGTTGAATTGCATTTCTGTAGTGTGTGTTGCATGGTGTGGCCATGGGAAAACTCACCGATTCAAAGAAAATCTCCATCATGCGAGTTCTCTTCTCCTCCAAACTCAGTCCTTTCTTCTTTGACTGTAACAGAAAGTTTAATGTGACTATTAAATGACAAAGCAATGGCATTTTGGGGACAATAAAATTATATATGAGAGATTGGTTTCTACCTCACGAACACCTTTTATTTAGGATGCAACAACAACAGCAAAGGACTTTGAAATATGAATTTAACATGCAGACCAGTGATCAGTACAGGTGACTTCTATGCTTTATACACTGTACGTCTGTGCTTCTGCATGAGTGTTGTTGTAGTATCACTTCCAGCCACCAGTGGCAGCACCGAGCAACGCAACAGCCGTGGAAACAGAAGAAGAAAGTTAACAAGCGGGTTCATGGAAATGAACCACCCGCACTCTATCGGAGTAAAGCGCGTTTTATAGCTTTGTATTCACATGACATCGACCACTTCCCCCCGATAACTCACTAAGTCCTTCACGCTCCCTGAACTGCGTTTGTAAATCCATCGGTCCCCCGTTAAGGAATTTAATGAGTACTGGATGTCCGAAATAGATGTCAATCGGTACATGACTGATACTAACGTTGGTAAACCGATCTGACTTGTGGCTAATACTGTTGGTGGTGCAGTGGCAAGTAAATTGGAACAATTTAGCAAAATGTATAATGTTAAATAAATCCCGTGTCTGAGCTCGGTATCATTACTTCCCTTCGTTACCGCTGGTTAGGAGCTAACTCTTGCTAGCCTGTACGTAAGCGTCGCTGCATCACATAAACTACAGGTAAAGGTGAACATCTACTTACCATTTTGTTGTGCTGGTTATACCAATAACATCCAAAGACATGAATCTTTAGATGTAAACTAGCGATCTTCTTCGTATGTCTATAATCCAAACAAGAGGAATATCAGATAGACAATGGGCATTACTGAATTTCCCGCGGAAGGCTGTGACGATCAATATTGCCTTCACTGCTCCTCGTAAACTTCAAAACTTAACTTGAAGAAAATACATATCAAAAATCATCATAAATCAGTGGACTTTTGCTTATTCATAGCGTTAAACTCTGACATAATTTTACCATCATTTGTCAAGTTTTTTTGTTTGTCAACAACCTTAGTTAGTTAGTATACAGTGGCATAGAAGATGAAGGAATTACAAGAAAAACCAGTAATGAACATGGGTAAATGATAATAAAAACAGGGTTCAAAGCATTGTTGATGGCTTTCTGGTTTTCTGACTTTAATGCGGCTGGTAGATTCATACTAAATGTCCAATTTTGAAGTCATCAGTAGCTTGGTCGCTACATTATTTCCGACTGCACGGGAAGGCAGCATTTCTTTAAAGGGCCAGAAGCGATGTTGTTTACTTTCGCCTCACTGTTTCTAACGCCCTCTGCTGTATATGAAATAGTGGTGGTTTTTCACAATTTCCTGACATTTTATACACGAAACAATCGATCAGTTATGTAAGAAAATATCAGATGGATACAATAAAAATACCTTTGTGTGTGTGAGACACAAAAACATCAGAGTTGATATTGTACTCAAGTGGTGTACATTTATGACAAATTAGTGATTAATCAAATTATGTAAACCTGTAAACTTGGGGCTTTTGGGCCCCTGGGCAGATTCCTGCTTTGCCCAGTTGGTAATATGGCAGCTATGGAGTTATTTATCACAGTAGTGAACAGTTTATGATGTCATATGTATTACACAAAACCAAATACAAACAAATTAATCTTTTCTATGGGCACTTTAATTCCATTTGGCATTACAAAGATAAACAAGACAATGGAAAACAAATAATTTAACAGGATTGTGTAGAAAATGAATGACCAAATTCAGGATACCCAATGAAAACTGTGTGCTTAAAGACAAAGTATTTTTGACCAAGGCTTTCAAATGGTAGCACAGTGCAATTTTACAACATACACCTCAACTGTTGAACTACATATTGCATCAGGACAGACAAATTGTTTTACTAAAATACAACTTGCTAGTAGTTCTACAGATTTTTCTGAAAGACATAAGAGCACGTGGTAAGGAGTGATAGTGACCACAGTTCTGCAATCTGCGTTTGATGTTGTTGGATCAAACCTCTATGCTGCAGCTTGAATGAACCCTGATGTGTCCTACTGAGTGTATTTTCAGCTCTTTAGCTATTTCCTCAAATGCTGCAAGAAATTCTAAGATGTTTGCACATAATCAAAATGTCAAGAGGCTTCATACACACACTACACAGCAGAAGTCAGCACATAAAGCTGCTCATGTTTGGTACCTTGATTAATCACAACACACACACACATTCACACTTGTCTTGCACACACAAACACTATGTGTTTTTGCAAAACCAGTGAAGTAGAAATTGTCACCATATTATTAGTTAATTTAAAGTGATGACAATTACACTGACTATTAATTTTCACACATAGATAGAAGTATTGTAATTGAAACAGTGCCTCCATTCAAAGTTTCTTTTGGTGATGTTGGTAAGTGTCCACTTGAAACATATCTATATATTGTGCACAGTAGCTTTTCAGGTGTGTATTAGTAAAAACAGCATGCACAGAGATGCCTAATCATGCTTGAAAATACCCTGCTACCTACAGTAGGTGGAAGATCTGTCTTTTATATTGAGCAGGCAAAAGGTGAAGAGCATTAAACAGGAAGCTGCAGTTACCGAAACTATAAATAGAATTCACATTCATTTCCAGGTGACTCGGGTAACTTCTTTACTTTAATGTCAATTTCACTTAACACAGTGCCCAACCAGTACTTTTTTAAGAACAAGTGCAATAGCATTATATTCCAGTTTTCCTGCCATGTCACAACAAATCAAAAGATCTAACATATGTACAATACTAAAGTTTAATTTTTTTCAAATCAGCGCAGTTAAGATGGAATGTGAACAAGGTTATGGGTGACTCCTCAAAGCACCAGTCAGCAGCAGCCGTCTGCGAATATCTCAGATCCTTTTTGCTTCATTCACACCACTAAAAAATTTTTCTCTCGGTTGTTTTCTTCAGCGTCATGGGGTGAAGCAGAACGCCACACGTGGGGAACAGTCAAACAGATGGCACAACAACAGCACGATTCAAAGATGAACGGGTGAGTGGATGAGGGCAAAAAAATCTGCCAGTCGCTCCATACTAACATGTGTATGTGTGTTTATGTGCACGGTACAGTTTGTGCGTTGAGGGAGAGAGGAGCTACTGCAGGTAGCGGTAGACTTTGAAGCAGTGGTTGCCGGAATCGGCGACCACAACGTGTCCGTCAGAGGTGAGAGCCAGTCCCTGCGGGCCGTACAGAGGGTCTGCTGATGTGTTGATGTAAGAGAGGAACGAACCGCTGCCATCAAACACCTGAGAGAGAGAAATGTTATTACTTCTTTCTTTAGATTTGTATTCGGGATAAAACCAGGAGATGCTTCATTTGCAGTTTATAAAATGCCCTGACATGTTCAATAAAGTCATGTATATTGTTAAATGTGACAAGGAGGTGTTTACTTATAATTATGATTGTGAATCAATATTTCTTTTAAAAGAACTGTTAAATCTATAGATTAGAGGGAACATACAATAGGCAGGGGGTGATGTTGGCAAAATCAAGTCAATTAAACATACTGGGTTTCTCACACAAATGTTAATTTGCATTTGTTATAATCCGTTGAAGAAAAATGTTATGATCAGTTTATAGTTCAAACTGAAACTAGTAGCTAGATTGTATCAGAACAAGAACGTTTACATTGTCTGATGTGGAATCCGGGGGTCAAAGGAAATGAGAAAAGAGTCACAATTTGTTTCTGTTTTCTAAATCTTCTTTCTACTAGAAACACAGCATATGAACCTCTGGTTGGTTCTATAAAAGACAAGAATAACTTCATAAATAAGGATGATTCACAATGACCGGAGCGGTCGTTTGACCTGAAGGAAGAGGACTCCAATGTGTGATCAGCTTTTTTTTTTGTACAAGTGAAAATGAAGTATTACAGATGCATGGGCCACAAGATAGCATGGACCTCGGTTAAGAAAAAAATCTAAATTAGCTCTGCAAAGTGCAGAAATCCAAACAACTGTGAATGCAACAGGGGACAAAAATTATATTTTCTTTAGACTTGTGGGAGTGAAATGTTTTGTACTGACCTGTATCCTACTGTTGCCCCAATCTGCTACTATGATGTTACCATTAACATCCACTGCCACTCCTGTGGGCGCGTTGAACTGGCCGTTGCCCTCACCGTTAGACCCAAACTTCAGCAAGAATTCTCCCTCTGTGTTGAACACCTACATTTTCAAATAGAAAAAAAAAAACAATCTAAAATTTGTTTTTGGCAAATTAGTAAACAAAACACGGTAACACTTTAACCACAGAATAGTTTTATTAATAAGAATTAGATTATTAGAGGATAAAAAAGACACAATTTCTACTACTAAAAATGTATTAATAGTCACTTCCACTGCTCTGAAACTGTACTCACCTTGACTGAGTGATTGTGGAAATCTGTCACGATGATTTCATTGTTGTTGTTGACAGCAGCAAAATGAGGGCCTGCATCACAGAATCAGTAAAAAAAAAAAAAAAAAAAAAAAAAAAGGTCTCAGACACAAGCCATTTCACCAATTCTGATTTTACATGTCATGAAACGGTTCAGTTCAGCCAGCTGTTGCAGAGCAGATGTTTTCAGTCAACATGCAGATTTTTAGAAGTAGCCAATGTATTTATGAGAAATAAAAAACATAAATGCACCGGCAGACACAAAAATGAAGACTGATGAGAGAAAATCTAGTTACTCGTACCATGTTCAGTTGTACCACATGCTACAACAAACACACTTGAATTGTTAATCTGCGTAATGACCTGAACGGTTTGCTTTGTCTGTCCTAAGCTTTTATTGATATCAGTAAAAAAAAAAAAGAAAAAAAAAGTGTTGTTTACATTGGAAACAACACTGAAAAACAAAGTTGTTTTTGCTTTGTTCATGTCTTCTCTATAAATTCTACAAAAACTCAGCAGTCAAAGGATGAGGGGATCTTGATGGTTCCTGCTTTGGCACACGGTACGCCTTCATTCCACATGCAGGTGTGAGCTGGTCGGAGAACGACTGTAGGGGGCAGTGCACGTATTACCATTTAGTGTACCTGCAAACTGCCTGTCACCGTTGCCTCGGTTACCGAACTTGGTGACCAGCTTGCCGTTGAGCTGAAAGATGAAGACGCAGCAGGCCTTGTTGTCGACCACGATGATGTGGCCGTTCCTGTCCACTGACACGCCTTTAGGGCCCATCAGCTTCCCTGAGCCAATCTTGTTCTGCAGAAGCAAAGGATTTGACATTTGTGTTGCACCGCAGCTTTTCAATCATATACTGCATGACTGGGAACTTAGACATACATTAATATTAGTACAGTATATGTATATTATCCCCATTTTTTAATTGAGGTGTTAGTCTAGCATTATGCTCACAGGATTTTTGTCCCCATTTTTATAACTTACCAAAAAAAAAAAAAACTTGCCTTTAGTCTCTTTAATAAGTTCTATTTTGTCTTATATGTGATTTACAAAGAGAAAAATAAAACATCCCATCAATACACTGTAGACACACTTCATAAAAAGAGTAATAAATCATGGGGTAGTTGGTTTCGGTGATTAAGAGACATCCAGTGAACGAGCCCCAGGCTCTCCTGAACGGAAAATGTCAGTTTCTGACATTTTGCTAGCACAACCCTACTGCAACTCTAAGTAGGAAAAAAAAAATCCATCATTAAAGCATAAGGTCACAATTATTTATATATACTTTCAAAACTGTACTGGTTTCTGTAATTCAGGATAAAAAAAACCACTGAGACGGACTGAAGAGGGAAGTGAAAATCTGCTCAAGTGTTTCTCTTCACACTCCAGAAATTAGCAAATGAAGTGTGGAAATTGCAAATGACTTGCAGATTTTCGGCGCTTGTTTTTCTGTTTGAATCACTGAAACATGAATGTACAGGCAGTGTTTTAGGGACAGTGCAAAATTTACTACTAGTATTTTTGGTGGCTAACCTGCCGGGTAATATCTCTGCTTGCACAGAAAATTAACATACTGCAACATAGCAATGCACAGTTAACCTCAAGCCTGGTTGTTTTTGACTGTATATCAGTTTTTTTTTACTACACCGCTACAATACCGCTACAACCCACTGATGGTTGAAGTATCTTGACTCACCTTAAACTTGCCCTCACTTGAAAAGATGCTGACCCATTTGTTGTCATAGTCGGCAATGATGATGTCACCATTTGGGTGGACGGCCACACCGGTCGGCCGCTGCAGCTGACCCGGAGTCCTGCCCCGGATCCCAAAACGACTTTTGAACTGGCCATCGTTGGAGAAAATCTGTGTAAAGACATGAGATGTTAAATGATGCGCACTTTTACCAAGTCAGTACACAGTATCGTGAGATATACTGAGATGGCAAAGTGCACAGGCAGCATTGTTCAAGGTAACTGAACACTGATAAGTAATAGCGCTACAGCGCTGACTTCTCACTGCAGCCCTGAGCAGCATCTTCAGCACAGGAAGTTCTTGTTACCTGGACACACTGGTTGTTGCTGTCTGCGATCAGCACCTTTCCCAGAGCGGAGGCAGCCACTCCCTGCAGGTTAGTGAACTCCCCTTTGTTTCTTCCTTTTGTGCCTAGAACGCATAAACAGTTTTTCATTAGTAGCTGATATTTGAAAAATATTTTCTTTCTTTCTTTCAATTCTATATAGACAACAAGGGCTGCTACTAATGATCCTTTTGTTTATCAATTAGTCTGCCAATTATTTTCTCAATAAATTGATTGTTTGGTCTATAAAATGCCAGACTCCAAGGTGATGTCTTCAAATGTCTCGTTTTTTTCTGATCAACAGTGTAAAACCCAAAGATATTCAGTTTACAGTGATATAATAAATAATACATTTCCACACTTGAAAACCTGTTACCACCAACCATTTGATATTTGCTTGAAAAAAACAAAAACAAAACAAAAAACAGTTAATCAATTAGTAAAACGCCAAAATAGTAAAACTAATCAATCAATCATTGCTGCTCTACAGAAAACATATAAAGAAAGAAAAATGCCCAGTGAACATGTCGATACAGCCATTTGAATTTTCAAAAAAACATCAGCTGTGTGTTTTGTCTGCTCTGCTGTGAGAACAAAACGGCTCCCTCACCGATTCTGAAGATGAGGTCGTCCTCGATGGGGTTCTCTTTCCTCCTCCCTGTGCTGTACATACTGGCCGGCCTCTTGATGGCCTTCTGCTTGATGTGCCCACTGCCTGGAGACTTCAGCCTCTTCTTCATGCCGTCCGAAGTTGGTGACACATCTATAGACTTGGTGGCCCTAATCTTAAAGGGGCTTCCTTTGATATGTTGGTCATATAAACGCAGTGATAAATTAAAAGCCCCCTCTTTAGGGGCTGTGAACAGGTACTCATAAGTGCCATTCTTGTTGTCCAGTATCTCTCCTTCACCTTTGCTACCATCAGGTGAGGAGATTTCAGCAGTTATGACTGCGTTACCCATCTTGCACAGTTCTCCATCTTTGTCCTTAGTGGTTATGGTGATGGAGGTGGGTACGCCCACCACACAGTGCCGTAACGCTTCACCAGTGGCCACAGACTCGGAGGCCACCGCGTTAGTCGTTACAATAGTGCCCAGGTTATGGATGGACTTCTTTAGTCCGTCTGTCTCCACGAGGAAGTCCAGCTGGTCGTTCTCTCCGGGCTGCAGAGGAAGCTCCTGGCTGGCCAGCTCAATGAGACGCTCGCTCATCTGCTTCTTCACCAGCAGCACCTCGGCCTCAGTGCCGTGGCTCAGAGCCTGCTCCGTGAAGTTACAGCTGCTGTTGATGCCCTCCTGGCCCTGCAGCAGGGTGTCCAGCTGGGCTTGGAGCACCTATCACAGACAAACACCAGGGGGCAGCAGGGTTAGACAGACCAGTGGTTGCTACTTTTTAGGCTTGTGACCCCTTAAAAAAAAAAAAAAAAGCAGTGTCTTCTTGCACCACCTTGTCACAGTTGCTGTGAGCAGGTCAAACAAAGAATGATTTTCCTGTCTTATAGTTATTCATCCAAGTCTGACTATATCTTATAGACAACAAGAGGTACAGGTACGCAGTATCTTTCTTATTCTCTAATTCATCTCACAACCCCGCAGATTCACCGTGATCTCTTGTGGGGCCCCAGTTCTCAGGTTGGAACCACCGCTACAGGCCGTGAAGCCCGCACATGAAACCCAACCAGCTCCACTGCTTTGTAGGAGGGAAAGTGAAAAGAATTCTGCGTGAAAAGATAAAATATAAAAAGGACAGACCATGACTTGTCTGCATGAAGGGAGTGAGATCTTATCTCAGTAATTACATGTTGGCAAAAAAAATAGTGTATTGTTGTTATTGTTCATATGCAAATGAACAAAAAGTCCTGACTCTCAGATACACACGGCTGCAGCTTTACTGCAGCGACTGCACATGAAAACAGATGAGTATCTGTTAATGTGGCTATGTCATCCTGTGGTGCCACGCAGAGATCTGTCTGTGAAATTACTGTTACACTTACTGACATAACCAGCACAACGGCCTACAGAAGCAATCTGCAGTAGTTAATGCTGGAAAGTCAAACACATTATAGTTGTTTTTTTTAAAAAAAAAAAATCTCATTTCATTAAACTGTTCACATTTGCTTAAACATGTCATCTGGCCCCTGCTGGGCGTTTTTGGTTTCATTCTCCTCAGTGTTACACTCCACTTCTTTCAACAACAACAACAACAACAAAATATATCATTAAAAAAAGTTTATGTGCCACCCCCTAGCTTTTAAATGTGACATGAACAACATGAAGATTGTACGGGTCATGCAGCAACATATAGAGGTTTATATCTGACTACCAGCTTCATAAGAACAGCTTCATATCTCTATGAGAACAGGTACTGTTCTGTCTTCAGAGGCGATGATCAAATACATGGCTCTAAAATGACTTTTTCCATTTAATGTATGGAATAACAAGAGTTATAGGTCATTGAATAATGATCTGTTAACCATTAACTAATCACATGAACTAATAGTGACGATGATTTCTTACATAGGAATTCAAGATAGAGAGTTAAACATCTGTTATGCATTACTCAAGCATCTGTTTAGTAATCTTGTCAATAAATTTAGCCAATAATAAACTCACACAAGTCACATTTAACTCATGAAATCCGTCTGTATGTTATTCTACATGTGTTATTGAAAAGAAGTTCTTTGCTGTTAATAATCTTTGAGCTGACTTTTCACCATTTCTCTTCAGAACTGGGACATCACCACACACTCATCAAAGCACCAAGACAGACTCACCCGCATCTGGCCATCACACTCCTCCTCTTCTCCAACAAGAGAGGCCATTAATCCATCTATCTCAGACTGCAGTCAAACGCTTCATCCAAACATCCCTTCACTATCTCTTTTCTCTTCACATAAATTCACACGCCGAAGCTCTGAGAACGAAGAGGCTGTCCATACATACTGTGAGAATGGAGATCGAGCTGCCAGTGTAAGAGGATAAAGTGGTAGCAGCATGAAGAGCAAAGCTGCACTGTATTACCTCATTGCACATGACACACCCAAATCAACTCCCAGTGTACACACTGTGCACTGGCTCCATCTAGCTACAGCAACAACACGGCTGCAAGTCACTTATGTGACTTTCCCCTGGGCTCCAGTGTTTTGACTGCACACCAGCCACTGAATTGTAAATCATTAGCAACCCATGTGACGGAGCTCCCAGGCTCCCAGCCTCTTAACCAGACTGGGTGATTGGTTGTCCAGACTGGGGTGGTGCACCAGCTCCATTGACCCCCCTCTGTCCAGCCTGTTAATCGCCTATCAGACCAGCTGAGCCCCTGACACATATATCAGCAAAACAAAAAGGCTGATGAGCAGCCTGTGACAGGTTAAATTCAATTTTAACCAAAATAGATTAAAACAAGGCCAGTGTCTTGCATCAATTTTAATGTTATACCACTTGTTTCTTTCTCCATAATTCCCTTATGTAATCTACTCCAAAACATCTTGATAAGAAACCATCAGAGCTGCTAGTTAATGCAGCGCCTTTAAGAGGTAGATAACTGCAAAGTGCTTAACGCTGATTAAAAAAACTCAAACAACACTTACCATGATTGTGAACGTAACCAGATAGGACCAAAGTGTAAACCAAACATCCAAGCGTAACACTGAAACTACACTCTGCATGTGTCAGCTAATTCACTGAGAGTACTTTGCTTCATTCAGACTTCACCTTCTGCTTCAGGCCATAGTTGACCTCCAGCTCCATGAGCAAAACACTCTTTCGGACATTGAGGGTCTTCTGCAGTTCATCGAAGGTGGTGTGGATGTCATCCTCAATGGAGCTCTTCTGGTTGGTCAGCTGCTGCAGGATCTCTGACAGTGTCTGCAGGGCTGAGTCGATCTCTGGTAACCTAGGAGCAACAGAGGGAGGGCATGAATGACGAGGAATGTTTCTTATAGCTAGTCAACCATCACATGACTGAACAGGCACAAAAAAGAGGATTGTGTTTGCTTCATTTATTCCATCATGGCAGTTCCTTAGGAGTAATATGCATAAAGTCTGTAGTGCAGTATAATGACGTCTACATAAGGCTGCTGTTGTACCTCTTCTTGACGGCGTCTAGCTGGTCCTGCAATGAGGCCTTGTGTTGTTCCACTACGTCTTTAAGAGGCACAGTTGGATGTTCTCCATGTTCGCCGCTTGTACACTCCTGACACATGGCCGTCTCACATGGAGGACAGTAAAACTCCATGACCTAGGAAACAGGAAAAAGTAAAGATTAAACTTAAATATGGGGTTGAGTTTCATTCCAAACCGTTTAAGCCACATTAGCGGCATTGCTAATGCAGAGCTGGTCAGCCCCCCACTGTGGTTCAGCCTGAAATATCTTGGACGGACTTCTATGAAACTTTGTACAGACATTCGTGGTTTTCCAGAAAATGAAGCAGAATGACTTTAGCGAGTCCCCGACTTCACCTCCAACTCCACCATGAGGTTTATATTGTTGATTTTGAATGAAACATACATTTTTCGTTTAGAGTGAAATGTTTCCACACCAAGAAGAAGGACTGATATGCTATACAGACATTCATGTTTGCTTTGGGATGAACTGTAACTGAATTTCAATTTGCTCAATACTGGTTTCACCAAATACTTGTAAAACTAATGACACTCTCATTAGCCTCAGGTGTACTATTGTTTTTACTGCTAATTACCAGATGTTAGCATGCTAACATGGTAAACTAAGATGATTTACATGGTAAATATACTTAATAAGCAGTATATTACACGTTTAGCAAGTACACTGACATTAGCATTTAGCTCAAAGCACTGCTCTGTACGGGTGCAGTCTGACCACGAACAATTAAAAGAATCAACAATATCTGACCTAGTGGCCTTGACATCTACACTACAAGTCTTTATCAGATCTGTGAGACAGTGATTATTCATTGTTAATGCTGAACATTAGTATTTATTATTAGTCTTATTAACTGCCCTATATCATTGTCTTTTTGTTACTTTTATTGGTATTATTATTATTATTATACATCTTTATGTGGAACCTGCATCATGCTATGTTCCCTTACTGCTCTCTCTTTCTTTCTCTCTCCCTCCCTACACACCTCTATCTCTCTCTCTCTCTCCCTCAGCCCAACTGGTTGAGGCAGGCTGCCGCCCACCATGAGTCGGGCTGTGTTCAAGGTTTGTTCCTTTTGAAAAGATGTTTTTCCTTGCCACCGCCACCAACTGCTTTATAAATAATATTAGAAAGAGAACGGTCTAGACCCACTCAATAAGAGAGCTGCCCCGGAGATAACTTCTGTTATGATTCTGCACAATATAAATAGAATTGAATTGAATAGTGAATGCCATGGCAAAATAATCTCTCATCTCCATTCAAAAAAAGATACATAATATAACTTCTTCTCTAAATCTAAAAAAAGAAAAAAAGAAAAAGTTAAATAGAAAAAAAGAGCGCACAACTGCTGGATGACCAGCTGTGCTTACTTACAGGCTCAAACTACATAACTGACCTTCACAGCTGCCGTACTGCAGTTACTCTCAGTTTTCAGACAGGCGTAAACTTGAAAATATGTTTCATGTCATATTATTCGTCTTAAGCATCATCAGGATACTTTTCCAGACAGTATGTTGTGTGTATGGGTTTGTGAGAAACAGGAAGAGGGAGGAAGCACAGGTACAGACTGATATTGTGCGTGACTCTTACGTTGCCTCCATGATTGGGGCATGAGAGCAGTTGGCCTGTAGCCACAGCGGTGATGTTGTTGAGAGCGGCGGCCTCCTGGCTGCAGCTGCCCGGCTCCCGCTGCAGCACGTCCATCAGGTTGGTAATGAAGAAGTTATTCTGCAATGCCGCCACACCCTTCTCCGGCAGGATCGAGGTCTGGCGGCACACGGGGCACGACAGTGTGAGGCTGTGGGCCGGGATGTAATTCTGCAGGCACCTGGAGGAGGAGAGCAGGGGGAATATTGATGAGTGGGCGCATCCTGTACAAAGCTATATCAAAGGGAGTCTGGAGAAAGGGGTGGGTGGTGCAGTGTGTGTTGCATTGAGAAAGAGAAAGATCAAGGACTCAGCCATACTGAATACAGAGAGTGATGATATATAGTAGTACACATTAATGACTGTGACTATAGAAAGATTTTTCTTTAACCAGAAAGTTTTATTTCCTCTGTTTACACAATATAAATTGTCAGCATTCATTAACACTGTAATCTAATCTAATCTGGCCTTTTATGCCACCTAGTGGTTGAAATGTTTACAATTCAGAAGTGCTTTACAGTAGCACTGCAAACTGAGTCACCAGTTCATTATCCACACCTCTACTGTGCAATCGAACACAACAGCCCTGCCATAAACATATAAATCCCATCAGCGTGGAGCTTATAATGACTTGTGAGGTCGAAGTTAGTTTATTGTGTTGGGCTGGATTGGATTATAAAATTTTAAGAGATGCTCTTAACGTGTATGTTTATGAAAGGATGTGGAAAAACATCAGAAACACCTTTCAATTTAGTGCGACACCACCACCAAACTGGTTATTATAACATTTAATCAAGATTTAAGATTGAAGAGGTTTCAATTTCAAAGTTTGAGAAACGAGTTAAAATGGTAGAGGTTAAGTCATTGTGTAACTTCCTGGTCACAATCCAGCCTTTTGAGATTATGATGATGAAGATGATGAATATAATTGTGCAATTAAAGTTTTGGACAGGAAGCTGATGAGAAAAATTATATTTTGATCAAATTAGCTAACGTCCATTAAAGTCTTAATAAATGGGTTCCTAAGATGCTCAATGTCCAGGAAACAGCCTTTAAAAAAGGATCAGTGATGTAATCATGAATTATCTGGTTCTTGTCCTTGAGTTTTACAGTAATTTAATTCAGTCATTGTTTGTGTCGTGTGCTGTTCTATATGGATTCCATTGTTGAAGTATGTGAATCTTAAAAGCATCGCAACCCGCTTATAAGTATATAGGCTGGCATTGGCTCATGCTACGTACTTGTTACTGTACAATTAAACATTAACTAAAAATAAGCCTCACACATCTATTGCAGGGCTACTGAATTTGACTGCACTAGATTGTACATGTGTACTTGATAAAATGGAAACCCAGTGTAAAGCAACACTAGGTCACTGACGAGTGTGGTCGTTCTTCCGACCACACCCAGCATCATGTTGGATGTGGTTAGAAATAGATCCGAGTAAAGGAGGTTTTCAGCATGTGTACAGATCAGTGAGATAAGGCCTTTCTGCCACTGAGGATTTAGTGTTATATTACATGTTAAACATTCAGTCAGCTGCTCTGGGTTCTCTTTTACAATCACATTATGGTGAATTATAGAGCTAGGGAACTGCAATGGCAGATAAGAGAAATCAAATCCCAGAACAGAAAGAGATGCACAATGCTTTAACATAATTTCAACCATAACTTGCAATAATCGTGAGGTAATCAGATCCAAAGAATAAAAATGTTTAATAGCGGTAAATACTGTAATACTCACCACAGACATTTATGTGCAAAATAAATACACAGTAATAGAAAACAGGTGTATTGTTAACTGTTAATTCTAACAACTTAATGACTCTCGAGCGACAGACAGAGGATGGCACCAACACACCAAGGTCAACAGCAGAGATGCAGAACCATCTCTTGTGAAACTATGCTCAAATTTACAAAAACAACATTGATTTAAAAGTATCATTACTGCACCTCCCACTTACTGTTGTGCAAAATCGCTTTCTCTCACAAAAACATACAAATCATACATTTGAATTTGAAACCTTGCAGGTTGCAAATCGTGTCCAATGTACACACAGGATAAAAACATGACATTGCTGCATTAGAAACAGCGCAATAACTCCACTCACCTCTCACAGAAGGTGTGCAGGCAGGGCAGTACTTTGGGGTTTTCGTAGCGGTCCAGACATATGCTGCAGATCAAGAACTGCTTGTCAATCTGGCGGACCACGGGGCTAGGAATAGTGGAGCCTTCACTGGCCATCCTAAAACTCTGACATAGGAGTCCCGCTTCCTCTTACCCTGCACCCTGCAGAGTGACACACAGGGAGGACAAGACAAGTGAGGACAAGATATACGATCGAACACACAGTGATGACCTCATGGAAGTGAGTGGAAACCTGTGGGAAGTAAAGATCAAAGTTTGAAATCGAAGGCCAAATAGCTTCTTCCTTCCATCCCCTCACTGAGACAGGAAATGCCAAACACACAAAAACAGACACACCAATCAGCGCCTGTGGCTACATGCTTTAACACCAACTCACACTGAACACTGAAGTATTAAGATTAGAAACAGTGACTGCAAACATCCCGTCAATCAGCAGGTCGACAAGACGCAACCAGCTGCTAGATCCATTTCCTGGTGGTCGGTGGGATAAACTTATTTACATATAATTACATCTTCTAACCGTTAAGTCTAGGAACATCTGAGAGGTTGTGAAGAGGGTGAGAGGTCAAACTGAGGTCATGGTTTCAACATTAGATGTTTAGTGAATGATTAAGAAAAAATATCAGTTACAAACTTCTAGCTCTATTTCTCAAAAAAAAATATTGAGCAGTTGACAAAATAATCTCTTTAGTAGCTGCTCTGGAGCTTCTGATCAAATCAACCAATCTTCCTCAGGAAATGGAGTTTGATTATTGACACTGAAATGTAGATGTTCAAATTTCCTTTAAGGACTTTGAGCTTGTGTGGGGGTTTAAAAATTGAGGTTATAAGTGTAAAGTTCATCCTCCCTCTCTCTTCTCATTATTTCCTAAACATGAGCTGGTATTTGTCTGTTAATTATTGGGATATTTGCATAAAAGGCCAAAGCAATTTGGTATGAATTATAAGGGAAATGGAGGAAGTGTTAGATGCTACAGTTGTTAAGTACCTGCCTGTAATATTCAAATTTTTGGCAGTAGGCAAGTGAAAAACCGTTCATAAAAAGGGAACCAGTGAACCTTATGATGAATATTTTGTCAAATCAATAAAAAGAAAATAAAAAAAAAATGATATTTTGGGAGGAACCTTTTGGCGTGTGACCCTTTAAAGCAAAAATAATGTCTACTTGCAACCTCTCGTGACTGGTTGTGTTTGTCCAACAATTCAAGCAAGGACATGCCAACAGGGCAAAGCGGGAAACTGACCCCCAGGGACACCAACAGCTCCACACTTACACGTCAGTTCATTATTGGCAACTCATTTAGCTGCAAATTTGTTAATTATGTTGTAATGTTGATGAGTGATGAAACCTGACCAATTAAATGGATCAGGTATCAGCCAGATGTGACAGACGCACGATAAATACAGTTTCATTGTTGTTCATTTGATCATGATGTGGACACTACACAGTCTCTGACCTCATGTTACCTCTCATAAAAAATGTATTTCATTGAGGAATATCGATTTGAAATTCAGGAAGAAGAGGGAACCGCTATTGCATCGGTGCATGATATTGGCCCATACAGACTTTCAGTACTGCATCAGAGAAAGTCTAAATATGTGCATCCCAAGCTGTTAGAGGTAAAACCATACCACAGGACTTTTTATTTATTTTTTTCTTATTTCTTATCATGCTTCTCATCTTGCGACCACCAGGTCTCGAGCCCCATGTTGGGAACCAGCGCAGTAGAAGTTAGTAAATAGAGCAGGACTTGTATTTGAGCTGCAGTAGTTGCTGGGTGATTGTCATAAAAGGCACTTTAAGAGATAAATATTTGATTATAAAGTGAAAGCAAAGCACTCAGCACACACTGGTGAGAAACACCGAACACTGAAACTACCAAAATAAAACACTTTGCCTTCATAACACAAACACAATATTTACACCCACTCTTCATAATTCTGGACAAGCGTGACATGCTCTTCAGTTTTACCCGAAACATCTTATCATGGCACGATTTTATCCCTGAAACATTATCTGGCAGCTAACTTAGCCACAGAAAGTGTGTCAGTGCTTTTATTGTCTCTTCACATTCGAGACGGGCACAGAAACGGGCCACCTCTGCTGCTGAGAGGACACCCTCAGGGACTGTGCTTCTTTCTACGGTGCATGCTCTCCTTCTCATCCTCTCTCGTCTATTTTCATTTCATCCCTCTCTCGCTCTCTCTCTCTCTCTCTCTCTTATAAGCGTCTCCTCCTCTCGCTCTCCTCTCTGAAGGCAGATATGAGAGCCTGTATCTACAAAGCGGTGATGTGGTGAGCGTGAAAACGGAGAGTGGAGGTTAAAATGCTGTTATGATAAAGCTGTCATGCTGCCAGTGGGTTGCTCCCAAAATTTCCTAATATGCTACATGACCGGTATGTTATGTGTTTGCTGTGTCAACTGCCAAATAGTGGTGATGTTGAGCGTCTCGGTCCACTTTCACAAAGCTGCACTTGTGTTTGAAACAGAAACAGTTTTACTGTAATGGCAAAACATCAACAAGCTGTTAACAGCCAAGTCAAACATGAAACCAGATTCTTAAAATCACGAATATGTATCCATACATAAAAGGAAAAGAAATCATCTGCATTTGAATGACAATATATATATAAACAGGCACAAAGACAAATCTCAGATCCTCGGCTGTATGTTAATAAGTTCCCAGCATCACGGGGCCAGATGAAGCCTGAGAGCATCAACTACGGCTCAGACTGTAAAACTAAAAATCCTAAATCCTTCTGCAGACAGCCACAACAGGACAACAGAAGCAGCCCTGTGCTGACAGTGCACAAGGTCGTGGCAGCCACACATCGCTCCAGTCTTACATAATCAGATCCGCACCAGCTAAGCGGAATAATTCCTGCTGGATGGAGCTGTCATCTCACACACAGTGGAGGGTACACATGAAAGAAAGGGAAATATTATTGGATAAGTTTGTACTAACTCATAGGGATTTTAGCTTCTTGCATGTAGAGACCCCATGAGAAAATAGTTATCACGCAAATTGTGAGCTCAAAAAGAACAACAGTTATTCCAAAAACAGCTCAGCACGACATAACATGAATTGACAGGATGACTTACAGTGATGCATCTATGGACCGATCAACAGGCGTCATCCACTCCTGTACGCAGAAACACACTAAAAACACACCGAGATCCCTCTAAACATGCCTTCAGTTCATGTCAGCTCTGACGTGACATGATGCTTCCCTCCAGGTAGCAGCAATGAGCCAAAACAGGAGACGACAAGAGGTGTGTGAGCGACACAGCTCCTCCGTGTGTTTATGGGTGTGCACGCACACGTGAGCAAAGTTGAGGAGGGGCGATTTAGCCAGATTGTGTTTCAGTTTTTACATCATCTCTTCCCCTCCCTCCCTCCCTCCCTCCCTCCCTCTCTCTTACCACTTCCTCTCCTCCCATCCCTCACATTCTTTGCTCAGTCTGTGTCATCCATTCATCTCCCTCCTACCCCTTAAATGCTGGCTCACTGCAGTGCAGGGAGCGTGTGCGGCATCAGGAGTATGTGAGCGAGTATTGGCTGATGGCTGGTGATCTAACAAAACGGCCAATAGAGTTGAAGGCAGAGGGATCTCTCTGAGTGCATATGTGTGCAGGTGTGTGCATGCTGCTGAGTCACTGTACAGTCAGACAAAAAAAAAAAAAAAAAAAAAAAAGCTAAGAGGCAAAATATGAAGAAAGGGAAGGAAGATGAAAGAGAATCATGATTCATGATTCAAAGGGAATTAAAGTATTACATAATCAAAAGAGCACAGTGCTTCGAATCTGCTAAAACACAAGCACACATTCCTTCATATCCTGTACCGTCACACACACATACTATATACACGTATCGTACAGTAGGTCAAGTACGTCAGTTCTTAAAGATAAAGTATGTTGTTATTCCTTTATTGTCTCTTGACATAACGATGAAATGACGAAGGCCACCTGTTGCTCGTGGGATTTCACAGGCCGGGGTCGCGGTCTCCGCCTGTACCGCTGTCTGCGTGATGATCGAAACTCTACAAAGCTTCCTGCGTTCTTAAGAATGAATAATCGGAACCAGGAGGAGAAGTTTTATCCTTCAGACAACAGTAAAACACTGACCTCACTGACCTTTCTGATAAAGCTACACTGGTCGATTTTTGCCTCACGCCAGTATACTGAGCGCTGTACGTACATACAATATGTATGTGGTGGAGTTGACACAGGGAGCGCGTTTAGTCGACCAAATGATCGAATTAAAAGACTTTGCGTGCATGATGATGTACCATCATGGAAATGAGTCCTGTCAGTTTGTTGTCTTTAGCCTGGTCCCATGTCGTGCTCACTGTTTGGACAAACTGCCGCACTAGTCGCATCTTCGTGGTTAAGATTAAGAATCCGAACATCATTTTCCTGCGTAGCTTGCTAACATGAAAAATAATGAGAGGAAATGGCCACAAGCATGGTTCAGCTCGAAGCAGCTATAGTAGCTGATGCTAGAACAGGAATAACAATGACAATGTTCCTTTGATCGGTGTTATGTTAACTGCTTCTAGCAACTGCTGGGAAGATGATGCTTCTCTTGATCTTCCTTCTCATTGGTTAAAGGCAAAACTAAGACAAAGTAACCTTCCCTCTCGAGGAAATCAGTTAACGTGAAGACAATGTCAGGCTGAGTGAATGAAGTGAAAGAAAATGAAAATTCATTCCGAAAATCAGGTTCAGTTGTCTAAAGATTTCACTCAATGTACAAACAATGAAATAAATGTCGTTCTGTTTTGATCTTGAAATGAAAACATGCATACTTTGAAGTCAGCTCAAGATCAGTTTGCTGAGAACTGAGATCAGTCTGTTTGAGGAAAGATGATATCAAACAAAACATTGTCAGGGGGATTTCCACAGTTGTAGTTTATATACTCCATCAGTGACGAGGTAAAACCAGGAAACGTTGTCGACACACATCTGAATTTACACATTGTAAAATAGTGACATTAAATAGAAATTTTGACCCTATTTTCCGAGTTTCACAGTCATCAATTGACCTACTAATAACAGTGAAAAAGCACGGGGAAATCCTGAACTACCACTTCTATCATTGCATTTAAAAAAAACAAAAAACAAAAAAAAAAACAACAT